TGCAATGGTAATAGATCGTGCATATAAAACCTCTTTAATACCAGAGCAAGTGGTTTGGAGTTTGTTAATCTACCGGCTACACCATGTAAATGATATGAATGTATCCACCTCGCTTTTTTGACATTATACTTCTTCCTGATAGTCACACAAAAAATTTCATCTATAATTTTAGATGATAGGGCCTCTGACTTCGTATATTTATTTTCTATTATATTATTATAAAACACTGTTTAGAGGGTGCGATTGTCAGACTATTATTGTCTATGTAGTGAGAAGAGGAAGACTTGATGAGTTTCCCGTGGTTAGTCTACTGAGCTACGTGATGAGAATAGTTTAAAAGTATTCACCTCGCTTTTATTATACTTCCACGATAGTTATACAAAAATTTTTTCCCATATATATTTTTTCTATACACTATTATAGAGGGCGCAATCATCAACTATCATTATCTGCGTAGTGAAAAGAGGAAGATTACATAGGCTTCCTGCAGTTTAGTCCACTAAGCTATGAGATAAGAAATAGTTCAAATATATTCACCTCGCTTTTTATTTATTATACATCTGATTGGAAAACCTGAATCTGGGATCAGTTAACTAATTATAAGAATAATAATCGTTTAACTAGTGATAAAAAGCGATATCTTATCGCCAGAAAAATGAAATATTTATGGGAAGGCAATCTCGGCCATGCTGTAGATGTAAGTATAGCAATATATCATTTGTACAACGAACTAGTTTACTCTAAAATAGGACGTGGGTATGAGTATAGATTTCATCATTTTATGGATGAGCATTGGGGCACAAATTGCACAGGAAATACTTATTGTGATATTAGTTATAAAGACTATATGGAACTTAAAAGCAGATCTGAAGTTAGCAACTTCTACTTTGAAAAAAAAGCAATTCATTGTTATGAATTGTGGATGCAGAATGCTATCAGAAGAGTTAAACGTGCAAAAGAGATTGGAAAAAAAATTCGAGCTATAAGGGTTATACAAAGGAAATTTATTAAATATTATTACTGACCCTCTGGCCTTTGTGCTATACGGTTAGTTGAACATTATAAA